ACCTCCTCCATCACCACCTCCTCCACTACCTCCTCCTCCACCACCACCACCACCTCTTCTTCCACCACTATCTCCACCACCTCCTCCATAATCACCACCTCCTCTTCCTGTCCTAGCGCCTGCCCACCCTGGGCACCACCACCACCACCTCCTCCTCCACCACCACCTCCTTCACCACCTCCTCCACCCATCCTCCTCCACTACCACCACCACCACCACCACCACCTCCTCTTCCACCACCTCTTCTACCACCACCTCCTCCTCCTCCCGTCCTAGTGCCAGCCCTGCCTACCCCAGGCACCACCACCACCACCACCACCTCCTCTACCACCATCTCCTCACCTTCTCCAACCACCTCCACCACCACCTCTTCCACTACCTCCTCCTCCAACACCTCTACCACCTTCTTTTCCACCACCTCCTCCTCCACCACCACCTCCTTCTCCACCTCTTTCTCCTCTTCCATCTCCACCTCCTTCTCCTCTTCCACCTCCACTACCACCATCTCTTTCACCACCACCACCTCCATCACCTTCACCACCTTCACCACTTCCACCACCTTCACCATCTCCACCACCTCCTCCTCCACCACCTCCTCCTCTTGCCATCTTAGCACCCACCCTGGGCACTACCTCCTCCACCACCACCAGCACCTCCGCCACCACCTCTTCCTCCACCACCACCAAAACCTCCTTCACCACCACCTACTCCTCCACCACCACTACCTCCTCCTCCACCACCTCCACCACCTCCTTCTCCTCCCTTCCTAGCGCCTGCCCTCACCCACTCTGGGCACCACCACCACCACCACCTCCTCCTTCCCCCATTCTAGTGCCTGCCCCATCCACACTGGGTGGCACCACCAGCCCGAGCATCCACCACCACCACCTTCTCCTCCAGTCCTAGGGCCCGCCCTGTCCCCTATCCACCCTGGTCCTGTGGATGCAGCTCAAGTGCCCTGTGTGAAGTCCGGTGCAGAGCCTGGTGTCCTGACCCTGCACTGGTTCCAGAGGTCAGGTGGGCACAGCCAGGGTAACACCAGGACAGACATAGGCAGGCAGGGCTCTGCTCAGTTTCCCATGGATGCAGGTGGTCGGATGCCACTGTGGTTCCTGCGATGAGCAGTTGTCTGTGATCATGAAAACTGTGCACAGAAAATGCACTTCACTTGCTGCTGTTCATGCATCCAAAGCGGGCCCAGGGCACAAGGGGTCTGCTGCGTGGCTCTCAGCACACCCTCCGGCAGGGTGTCACCTCTGAGTTAGGCTGTCCCTGTGCAAGCAGGTGGAGGGAGATGAAGCCCCTTGGAACATGTGTTCTCTGTGAAGTCAGGCGCAGGGCCTTCCTGAGCACACCAAGTGTCCTCCCCAGACACAAGTCATGGGGAGAGGGGCGGCTGCCGGCTTCAGCAAGAAGTGCCAGTGCTGGGGCCGGAGAAGAGGTGGTGGCAAAGTGCTCTGTGACAGCGCAGCACATGGGTCCCCAGCGTCTGGGTGGGCACCAGCAGAGAGGTGCAGGGTCAGGAGGTGAGTCTCACACTTGTCTCGCCCAACCAAGCGTCTTCCCCGGGTGAGCAGGTGTAGGACGGCAGCTTGGCCTGCAGAGGCCGTGAGATCCCTCCCGCAGCCTGAGTCTGCCGGGATTATGGGCTTTCTCTCCTTGGGTTGCTTTTGAGGATAAAGCCAATCGGTGGCCTGCTGGTCTGTGAGAATTTCTTCCAGGTGTAAGAAAATCACGCGTTTTGTGATGCCTCATGCTACCGCATACCAAAAGTTTTCCAGAGAGCTGCAGTCAGCGCACCTATTCCAAGTGGCCCCGGGCGCAGCCCACAGGGCGTGGGCTGTGTGGACAGTATGTCTGCCTGGGTTTATGCAGTGGAGAGGGAACTTGCAAGACACACAGGAGTGCACATCACATCACTGCGTAGGCTTTCCCACCACACTGCTCTGAGACAGGACACGGGGAACACTGGGCCCCGTGTTCAGGTGCATAGACCTTGGCTGGCGTAGGAAGCTGGGCTTCCAGCCAGCAGGGCCTGTTGCAGGGGCCCACATCCTCCTCGGATGTTGTGGTTTTAAGAAACCCCTTGAGACTTTTGGGGCTGGGGTTCCTCCCGTGAGCCAAGCCATGGGCACCCACCTCTCCTGGCACTTTGTGTGGGGAACCCCACGCTGAGGTGGGTCACACCCCGAGGTTCCTTGCTAAGGCTGCCTTCCCAGGACATGCTGCCTTTTCACAGCTGAACAGGTCCACCACACAGACTCGGCTGTGGACAGTGCTTCTGTGAAGTCCAGACTGACGTCCCCTCTCAGGTGTGTCCCCAGGAGGGCAGCTGTGGCCCATAGGGTGACTTGACAGTGTCACCACGGTGACCTCCAGAAAGCCCATGCCAGGGTCCCCATTCCTGTGCACCCAACACCTTGCCAGATGCCCACCTGCTGCAGCGAGCAGCACTCTGGTCAGGCCTTCCCTGGTGCAGACTGCGGGTTGAGCCACGGGCTCCTGGTGCTGCTGCCCAGCAGCTGGGCCCTGGCCTGCCTCCTCCTGGCCAGGCAGGCCAGGACCCAAGCCCGGGGCTGAGCTGGTGGACCCGTCCTGCGACAGCCCCTCCGAGAGGAGGGAGGGTGAGCCCATTCCTCCCGCTGCTGGACTCTGCTCAATGAGAAATTCTCCCAAACCTCAGGTTTCATAGGACTTTATTCTACAAACAGAATCAGACAAAGACAAGGAATCTATAAAAGGAAACCATGAAGTCGATTTTGGATGGCTGCAGTGACAAGGCAGGTTCACAAAGGAAAAGCCGGCCAGGGCGGAGCTGCAGCCCAGGTCCCCTGGCCCTTCCTGGGACGAGGCAGGGGCCTTCCACACGGCTCTGCTCTGGCGGCCCTCAGCGGGCAGGCCCACTGCCTGTGTGGGACATGAGCCGAACAGTGGTCACTGGCGAGCTGACCCTCCCTGTGCCCTACAGTGCCTCTGCCCTGACCTGGACTCTGTGGACGGGCTTATTCGCTAGGGAGCCCTGGAAGCCAGAGACAGCCCAGGGCCTGAGTGTGGGACCTCTGAGGAAGCAAGCTCTGTGGACAGTGGGGTCGCCCCCAAAAGGCCCCAGGGTGTTTAAATAAATAAATAACCCACGCAGCGGGCAGCGAGGCCAGCAAGGCCAAGTGAGCCCACAGCCTGCCCACACAGCTGACCTAGAACCGGAAAGCTCCAAGGTAAAGTGCGAACCAGCAGCAGGTGGTGAGGGTGCCCAGCTGTTGCTGCCTCACCGCACGGGGCCCACGCCCAGCAGGGGGCTCGTCCAGCTGAGGCTGCCTTCTCCTTCACAGGGCAAGGGGTGGGACGGCACTCCACTCTGCACGTGGGCCATGTGCAGAGTTCCCGGCTCTTAGGTCCCGCACACCCCCACTCAGGGCAGCAGGCCCCCGCCGCCCAGGCGCACACTGGCAGGGCCCTGTGGGTGCTTACGAAGAGCAGCTGGGACCCCCACACAGCCGCAGCTCGGCAGGGGAGCCCAGGAGGGACCAGCTGGCACTCACACCCCACCGGGACGCAGGCTCTGTTCAGCACCCTGCCCAGTGTGCACTGGCCCAGCTGTTCATGGGAGACTGGGAGGCACGGAGCCCCACGGCCACACTGACATTCTGCCCTTGGCCCAGGGGACAAGCATGCTTTGCCATAAGTGTTCTGTGTGGGGTGTCAATGACATGCGAAGTCACAGTCTGGCTGAGGCTGGGCAGTGGACACTGGTCAACCCCAGGTTGCTGGGTACATGGAGCTCTGCCCTGGACGGATACAGGGGGCTCTCCAGTCACTCGCGGCCCCTCTCAGTACTTCCTAGAATGTCTTCTGTGTGGAGGGAGCCCAGGTGGTGGCTCTAGAAACTTCTGTAGGAAGCCAGGTGCAGCAGGTCAGGTGGCCTGAGTGACATCTGTCAGTCTGAGTTGGGCTGGCACCGTCCTCACCCCATCTGGCATGCCCACCGTCATCAGGCCTTAGGAGTAGATGGTGATGACCTCCCGGCCACCGCCCCTGACCAGAAGCACCCTGTTCAGCCCCTCGGTCAAGACCTCAAGAAACTCCATGTCTGGGTGCAGAGTTAAGGCCAGGCAGGCCTCCCTGGGCCACGTGCAGGGGAGACCCTCTATTACAACGCACAGTACACCTGGGAAGGGGCCAAGACCAGCCAAAGAAGACCCTGTTCTGGGGGGCGGGATGGGGGACCCCAGGGAGTGGGGAGGACATGGAGGGGCTGCTGGTCAGGAAAGAGAAGGAAGTGGCCGCCAACCTCAGCCAGGTGACCGGATCAGAGCCAGCACCTAGAACCCAGGGTCTGTCTCTGACCCAGAAGCCCAGGAGATGCCCACCCCACACAGCCTGGGCACAGGGCTGGCTGCAGTCTCGAGGGAGGAGTCCAGCAGGCCCCCAGGCATCAGGCGTGCATTACCAGCAGCCGAACCACTGAGCTGTGGTCAGCGGACATGAGCTTCCAGCCCGGGGAGCCGGGCTCTCACTGCCTGCCCTCCTGAGCAGGAGCAAGCTGAAGCTCAGGATGGCCCGGGGTACAGCAGGCAGGATGCCCTACCTGGGCAGGTGAGTTGCCTTCTGTCCTGTTCTCGCCCTCACTCCACCGTGGGCCAGCCACAGAAAGCACCATATGGACTCGCTACTGTCCAGGCCCAGTGTCCACACCACCTCCTGTAGCCTAGCACTGACCCCCAGTGTAAGCCAAGAGCACCTCATGGGGCAGCACTGCCCTGGCCCCCACTGGCTCAGCCGCAGCGTCCTCTCTCCAAACCCTGGAGGGACCCACCCCACCTACCCACGCCTACTCTCAGGTCTATGCCAACCACAGGGGCCAGCCCACTCCCCTTCTGTCCCAGGCTTCCCCCAGCTCCAGGGGCAGTGCAGGGTACGTGCAGGGGGACCATGTGGTCTGGCCTGGTGACCCCAGGTGGGCCCCTGCCTACTTGCCTTGGGGGCCTCTGTTTGGACAAGAGGCAGCACAAAGCCCAGCCACAGCCCCTAACTCAGAAACCACTGGACAGCCCCCACGGTGCCCACGTCCCTGCAGGCAACATCACAGGAAAGGATACAGTTCTCATCCCCCTGCCGGTTTTTTGGGGGCCCCGGCATGTTCAGCAGGACCAGCTGGGCGTCCTGGGACTTGTTGAGGACGACCCCATTGAGCTTCACGGCCGTGTGCATCCTCCTGACGTTGGACTGGTCCCTGCGGGAGGGGCGGCAGCAGTGGGCAGGAGGCCTTCAGCCTGGCTGACCCACCCCTGGCTCCTGGTGCTAGGCAGGGCCGGGCCAGGAGGATTGTGGCCCAAGGGGTCCCGGGGGGCAGGCCCCTAGGAGAAGCGCTTGGTGGCAGGCAGGGCGGCTCTGGAGCAGCAGGAAGCACCTGCTGGCATTCTAGACTGAGCGCCACTACCACCAGGCCTCTAGTCTACACGGCGGCTGGTGACTACAGAAGCACAGGACATCCACAAAGCAGAGCTTGCAGGAGGAAGCAGGTGCGAGGGAGCGGCTGTCCTACAGGCTTGGGAATGGGCCACAGGCCTGCGCCTCTCGGGGCTCTGACACGACCCTGCTGACACCCCTGGCTGAGCGGGTCCAAACGGAGCAGAGGCTCTGGTTCCGGGCAGGGCCAGTGCTCAGGAGGGAAGCGCCCACAGTGCCCCAGCTGACAAGCAGCCACTGCAGGGCGGCTACTCGTAGGCCCCTGCCATGTGGACGGGCTCAGCAGAGAACCTGCAGCCACACCTGGGCCTCTCCGCCCCGGCCTCAGCCCCTGGGCCATGCTGCACCTTGGCAGATGGTGGACAGGGCTTCCGGCCTTGGTGGTGCAGGCCTGGGTCTGCCCGCAGTGCATTCCCACCGAGTGCTGGTGCTGCGTTCCTCAGCGTCCCTGGTGGCCAGGCCCAGGGGTGACCACGTAACTCTGGGGCACTGTAGACTGGCACAGGCACACGTAGGCACCCAGAGAACACAGGCCTCACGTCTTTGTTTGCCCACCCTCAACCAGGAGGCCACAGTCCCTTCTCTAGGTAGCCTGGGTCAGCTAGCTGCAGAACTGGCACTCCCAGAAGCCACGTGGAGAAACCCTTCCACAGAGGACTCCCGCCGTGGTGTTTGTGTCTGGGCTAGAAGACCCAGCCGACGTGCTGACCCTGTCATGGGGTGGGACCTGTGCAAGCCTCCGCTAGTCTGCCCACCCGGTGTCCTCCACAGCCTTGTGCAGAGGTCACTTGTGCCCCAGACCTAGACAGCCAGGCAGAGGCCACCAGGAGGTCAGGGAAAGGCCCCGTGATGTCCTGTGCTAGCACCCTCTGATCAGCTCGACCAAATACAAGCCTCAAGCCAAATGCATCTGCTTACACCCGCCACCCACCTGGAGGAAAGAAGGCAGCGGGCCCCTCCCCCTGGAACCCGGCCCGGTCACAGCCGGTCTCCCCATGGCACCCTGGGGGCAGTCACTGTGTGGGCAGGGGGACTCCAGAAGGGCAGGGCGTGCGTCGCAGGACTTCCTCAGCCTCAGAGGCCAGGCTGGGTCCCCAGGAGGTGGCCTGTGGAAGTCAGAGGACAGGAGAAGCCTCTGCTCCCAGTGACTGCAGACCCCCAACAGGACATCTGCACCTGGTGGCCCTCCAGACCGTACCTCCAGCTGGGAGCCACAGGGGCAGGACAGGGTGGCCAGGGGCACGCCAGCAGGCACACGTATGCACACTCGCGTACACCAGCACGCTCTTACACCAGCATGACACGGAGGTGTGCACATGGGTACACACGAGCGTGCACACAAAGTGTGCTCCAGAGATGCAGTGAGACGTCAGTACACCTCACATCTAGACTGACCCAAAGGGGGGCCTGACCTTGACTTTCCAGAGCATCCTCACCCTTCCCACAGAGGCAAGCCCAAGACTGGAAGGAGTCTCGTGTGTGTCTGTGTGTGCTGGCACGTGTGTGTGTGCAGGTGCACACACGCATGCACCCAGGTGTGTGCACGTGGGCACAAGGAGGGCCGGGGTCAAACGTGTTCCGGCACCTACTGTTTCTCATTGAGCCATCTGAGGCACCTTCAGGTTCACAGACAGCAGAACCCGGGGCTCCCCACACATCTGCTGGCCTCACTCCCAGTGGCCCCACCTCCCGGCCTCTCCAGTCACATGGCTGAAGTGCCCTCTCCAGTGCCCAGCTTTGACACTGCCCTGGGCACCACCTGCCTTAAATCCAACAGCCTAGGAGGTCACTGTAGAGGGGATGAGGACCGGCAGACGGGTGGAGGGACAGAGCCGCAGCCCCAGCAGGTCCTGCCAGGATGGCCCCCCTGGGACTGGCAGCCTGGACCCCAGCTGTGGGCTCACCCCTCAGACCCCTGGCGCTCCTGGTGCTCCTCACAAGCCTGACCACAGCGGGATTCAACCCACACCCCCTCCCTGGAGATGAAGGGGGACGCTCCTGAGGGTGGTCTGGCTGGGGTGTGGGTAGGGTCACTCGCTGTGGCAAGCACACGCCCACCCTGTGCTCCCTCAGGACCAGCCTCGGCTGCCACAGGGATCACTCAGGGAATGACGTTCAGCAGGCCCAGGGCCATTCTGAGGAGTGGGCTACACAGGACACACAGGGGCCGAGCACAGACATGCAAGCAACTGGACCGAGGTGGCCCACGTAAAGCGGTGGCAAAGCCGTGAACTTACAGGTTTCCCCATTCTCTAGAGGAAGAAAAACACGGAGAGCACGTTACTCCACGGAACCCCTGCTGGCCACGCCCAGGCTGCACCCCCAGCCAGCAGAAGTTGTCCTGGGCCCCTCTGGGGCCCCCCACGGGGCATGTAAAACCCCTCTGCCCTCCTTGAGAACCCGGGCCCTGAGGGTCAGCTCCACCACTGTAGGCTCAGCCGGCCATGGCTGGACACGGGACCAAGCCACATCTGCACCCCCCGGGTCCCACTGCAGCCCTAAGGGCCTCAGCCGGGCCCAGGGCTCTTGGCACAGCGCGGGGAGAGGTGGCCCAGAGGCCTGCTGGGGCTCTCAGCTGGTGGAAAGTCAGGCACAACTGAGGTGCTGCAGCCGCGTGCGGCCTTCACCAGAGCAGGGCAGCCCCAGGGCTGAGACCTGCCTCACCGCCCAACCCACCGGTGCTGAAAGGCAGCAAGAGGAGTCTCTGTGGACCTGCGGGCCCTGGGGGGAGCAGGCGGGGCGCACGGGGCAGGGGCTGCAGGGCCTGGCTCTGCCCAAGGCCTCACGACACTCACGGCTTCAGGCTGAAGAGGTCTTTGAACCCAGGGGTGCTGGCCTCCTTGCTCCTGTGCTTCTCCGCAATCAGCTTCTCCTTCGTCCAGGTCATCTGCACCTTGTCGGGCACCGACAGGGCCTGGGGCCTGGTGGCCGCCGCGGCATGGGACGCAGTGTTCCTGTCGTGGATCAGCTGGGCCTGGAGGACGTGCAGGGGTCAGCACAGCCAGAGGCTCACCAGAGCTACCCAGTGGACAGCAGCTGATGAGCCAGGCTGGCCATGGAAAAGGACTTCAGAGCAGTGGCCCGGAACCCCCGGTCACCCCAGCCCTGGGATAGCAGTCCCCCGGCTCTCAGCGCTGCTCACTCCTCCCGTCTCTGAACCCACCCCCCCGGCCTTGCCTCCCTGTCCTGGCCCCCAAAACCACATGGAGCTGTGGCCAACCACAGAGGGCCAGCCAGGTGCTGGGGCAGGGCCGTCGCGTGACCGGTGACCGCAGGGAGCTGACGCTGACCCCACAGAGCATCACCCCCTCTTACCAAACCTGTGATGCAGGGCTAGGGTGTGAGGCCTGGCAGGTGTGTCCGCAGAGCCCAGGGAGGAGACTGCCTCTCAGGCCGAAGTCAGCTGCCGGCCATTCCGAGTGTGGAGTGGCCAGGAGATGCCAATGCGCAGGTCACACCACCCTGAGGGCCCCGGAGGCCACAGCAGCCCCTCACCAACACCCAAGCCCCAGGCTGTGTGCCACACGCACGGTCATCCATGCAGCCCGGGCCACGTGTGGCTCACCTGCCCAGCACTCCTGCCAGACTCCACGGGCTTCTGGGGGGGCAGGTGGCACCTCCCTGACCACTGCCCTCACCCCCACAGACGCCTTCCTGGGTGCATTCCTGGACGCAAGCCCACGCGTTCTGGGAGCGTCTGGCTCAGGCCCCACACACCTCTCTCTCCCGCTCGTTCTTGGACAGCTGCATCTGCTTCAGCATCTGGGACCTCTGCTCCATCACCAAGGTCTTCTCATAGGTGAACGCAGAGATGTCGTTCTCAACCTAGAGATGCACAGCACACAGGTGAGCAGAGCGCCCCAACAGCAGGCGCACGGGTCCCTGACGCTCTGCGGCCTGAGCTGGGGAGCAGCTGAGCTGGACCCCTGCAGGGCCCCTGGGGACCTCAGCTGGGCCCCAAGCAGCTTGGGTAGTGTGTGGACCTGAGTGTCAGGTGTGATCGGCAGTCACAGCAGGCAGGCTCTGCTGCCCTGGGCCCCTCCTGGGCCCTCTGCCATCAACATGTGGACAGCAAGAGAGCCTATCTCTACACCCTGACCCAGCACCCAGGGCACAAGGTCCTGGACAGGTCATCCAGCTGGTACCTCGGGGCTCACCAGCAACTCGTGCTGCTTTCTATGACACGCAAGCTCACACCACAAGACCCACAGGGGACGGCACTTAGTGCCACTGCCCAGGGACCCTAGGTTCTGCTCCATGTCCAGAGCAGCCCTGACCACTGCGCTCACTCTAAACTGCCCATCATCCTGAACCATGGCCATCAAAGGGCCCCACTCCATCAGCTGATGATGTCATCTTGGGCCACTGGTGGGACACAGGACAGTGGCCCTCTGTGGCCCTCTGAGGCAGCCAGCATTGCAGGCTGAGGGATGGGTGGTCACGCCCACAGATGCTGCAGGGTCAGGGGATGTGGCTGGCTCTGCCTGCCTCCCTGCCCAGCCCCTGTGGTCCTGAGGCCTCATCTCCTCCCAAGCAGCTCTTGTGACATGTGTGCCACTGTTCAGAGCAGCTGGACCCCGAGGGCAAGCCCATAGCAAGGGCTGCATGAGCTAAGGCCATCATGCAGGCGGCTAGCTCCCAGCAGCTGGATCTTGTCCTGACGCAGATGTGCAGTGCTGGACAGTGAGCCCCGTCGCGAGAACAGGAAGGGGCACTCAACCTGCTCCCGGCCTCAGAAGCTCCTTCAGAGCAGGAGGAGAACCACCCAGGGACAACACTGCCCCATGGAGACCGAGAGAAAAACACCAAGGGTCATCATTGATGCCCGAGGAGATGCTGACCTCACTAGAGATCAGAGGTGCAAATCCAGACAAGATGCTGGAGGCTGTCGGCCAGCACTGGACCTCCGTACCCCCAGCAGGGGCCTGCCCACATCACTACAGCGGGAGCAGAGCCCCTCGGGGGCAGTTCCATGTGGTCCTGCCCAGCAGCTCTACTCCAGACTGGACTGCAGACTCGCCCGAGCTGGGCAGGCCCCATGCTCACTGGGCGTCACCCACGATCAACAACCGGGAATCGTTGGTATGAACTGCAAAACCGCTACCCCCACCCCCCCCAAGGGCAACCAGAGGCTCTGGGGGTCAGGCGCCTCACTGCAGGCCACAGCAGCGCAGGGCACCTAGGGTCCAGGGGCCGTGGCTGGGACAGATGCTCCCGTTGCCCAGGCCGCCTCCACACCTCGCTCTCTGGAGGTGCCTGGGACTCAGTAGACACTGTCCACCAAATGACCCATTTGTCCTACACCTTGCCCCAGGCTGACCTCACTGACTGATGACCTGTGTAGACAGAGATGGCTGGTTATTTCCAGTTGTGGGACCGTGAGGCCATCTCCCACCGGTGGCCACACCCAAGGCCTGAGCAGGCTGGAGGCCAGGGGCAGGGAGCACCACGGGTTGCCTGGTGAGGAGGCGTACCTAGGCCACAGACATCAGCCAGAGGCACTGGGGACATTGCACTGTCCCTGCGAGCCCAGCTCTGCAAGCCACACCCAGCCCCACGGCGCCTCAGGCCGGCAGCCACACACACCATCTCCACCACCTCCACCTCGGCGCTGATCCTCAGGTGGTACAGGAACACCTGCAGGTCCTTCTTCATCTGGATGCTGTTGTCGTCCACCTGGGCCACTGTGAAGATGCGCATCCGGCACTTCCGCCACACCTGGGGACGCAGCAGGGGTCCCTAGACCTGGGCAAGCCCTGCCTGCCCCAGCTGCCACGTGCATGGGGAGCCTGGCAGGCATGGCCAACCCCATGCTCCCTGGGTACAGCCCACCTTGAACAGGCACAGCTGCCCCCCACACCTTGGACTAGGCCCACTTGTGTGGGCATGCCCATCCCCCACGATGTCCACCTGTTTGTTATGCCCCCCACCTCGTGCTGGCGCAGCAGGAAGGGCAGCAGCATGAGCGTGCCCCCCACCCCGCCACC